TTGTATTTGTCGTGATAGTCGATGATGTTAGGAATATACTTGTAGGTGGTTTCGTTGTGTCGTTGAGACCAAGATGATTGCCAGCGACTTAAGACATCCTTGTACATAATTTTTCTCACTCTGTCGTGACTGATTTTGTTGTAGGTGATGGTAAGGGAGTCATCAACAGCCGCAGCCTTTGCCAGCTGATCAGCCCGCTCATTTCCCTCGGTGTTCTGGTGCCCCCGGGCCCAAGTATATGGTATGAGTTGCTGGAGTGAAGAATTAAGTGCCGGATGGATGTGGCTATTGGATGGAGTTTGGTGCCACAGATTATTTCAATGGCAGAGGAGGAGTCAGTAATGATGTGAATGCTGTTTTCTGTGTACCTTTGCTCAATCCAGTTAATGGCCATATTTATGGCTAGAATTTCAGATTGGAAAGCAGTACAGGTGTTATGAAGTCTGTTCTGTTGTGAGTAGATTTCCATACTGTTGCAATAGGCAACAAAAGCACAGCCTATTGAGTTGTTGTAGCCAGAGCCATCCGTATAGATGACAAGATTAGGATTGAGGGGCGGGCTGTTACCAATAAGGTTGTTGATATGGGGAGGTATGGCCTGGGTGTAAGGACTCAGATATATACAGTCGATACCCCTATAACATGGTAGATAGTCCTGTTTTTATGAAACTCATGTCTTATGAGTCCTTAAATACATGAGCCAATCACAGCCCGGCACGTATGCACTTTACGGACTAAGGCTGATTGGAAGATTTTCTTCCATAAAATTAATCGATTCTACACTAATTTGACTCAACATTGTATAACTTTGGGAATAATCCATATTAACTATGCTTTAAAAAACATTGTTGGATTACTTACGGAGTGTGCACCGTTCGACGACGCCATTGCTTAAGCTTGTTTTTGTCGTGCAGCGGCGTATCGAATGGCGAGCGCGTGTTTCCTCATAAATTATTTTTCTGCCAACGATTTGCTGAACTTTGGAGACATTATTAACATAAATATAATTATTATAAAGGTTAAATAATAAATGGTTTTTAGTAAATCCGCTGCTCGTTTAAACTCAACGGTTTGTGCAATATCCACTATTAGTCTAGATTCGACCAATCCTGTCGCGATACGAGTCGGCGATGAGGTTTTACCGAATTATACGAGTTACTTTTAGCGTGTTTATACGAATACAGTCGCAATTTTTTCGCCGTTATATACGAATCCGAATTATATGAACCCGTTTTATAGGGGTCTACTGTATGTATTTCTATTATTACATATGAATAAACGTAGTAAGAA